CGGCGGCCAGGGCCCGGGGGATAGGCGCCGGGGGCGAGGACTATGACGGCGACGACGATGGCAACGACTACGATTACGACGACCAGACAGACGACGAGATCGAAGAGATCGAAGCACCGACCGCCACGGCGCCGCCGCAGCCGTCGCGGCCGCCATTGCTAAGGACGGCGCCCGGCCACATGTCCCGGTACGAGTTCAAGAGGTTGGACGGCAGACCGAACGACGGTCGTGTCAACGGCACGTACGTGGCCGTCATCGAGAGCGATCGTCCGCCACGCGTCGTTATCTACGACCCGGTGAGCACACATTCTGTAATATTCTATTATATACAAAAGTTATGTATTCTATGTGGTATGTATAGATGCGGTTTTTTTTCACAGTAAAATAATGGTAATTCTAATTGAATGGCATAAGATTCAAATAATATTTTAGATTGGCAGTTGGGTTGTACAATAGGTGTCGAGTGGGTCACTGTAATGGATGACGTGTTAAATTTGAATTAAATTATTTATATTATATCATTGTGCCTATACGAAAAACAATTCTGTGCGGAGATGATCTGTCAGTATCGAGTATATTATTATTAGGATATTATGATTTTTGAGTTATATTGATAGGATTAACTTATTTAAATATTATCTAGTAATTAGAGTAGGTTCATTTAATTTTTTCCCAAAACATTGCATTCATTATATTACTTTATTTAATTATGTATGATAATATATAGTACCTACCTATATAATATACATACAATTTTTATTAGTTAAGGCTTCGACAACTGAAGTCATTAGCCTGTTACTGTGGGAAAGGGTACGATTGGTTTGAACACATGTAGCAAAGATTTGTTACTAAGACCCCGGCCCCGGTGAACTAGTGACACTCAGAACACATTCGTCACTGAAGCCAGACACCAGGGCACACCTATGGTACCTATATATTTGAATATTTCTATCATATTATATAAAGTTATGGTATATAATTATTTATTACAACAAAATAACTTTTATCGTTATTCTTCGTTTGAAAATCTAATTTCATCCAAATTTTAACTTAAAATGTCTATAAAAAAAAACTATGATAATATATTTTTTTAGATTTTTCGGTTACAATATAATAACAACTTGAGAAACTTTGTTTTAATTTTTCAAAAGAGCTTTATAACTTAATTTTAGATTCTGAGCGAAGCGATGAATGTATTGGTTTTACAATGATGTATGTTTTTATATTTTAGATTCTGAGCGGAGCGATGAATGTATTGGTTTTACAATGATGTATGTTTTTTTTTATTTATATTTTTATTTATATTTTTGTGTCTGTCATCACGTTTTGGGACAGTAAAAGTGCTTCGATTTTCTTCAATAGTACCTTTTCTGATAGGAAAGTGAATCTAGTTGGTACTTTGGGGGGTCAAAAGTAAACATTTCCCAGTAGTTTTCACAAGCGCCGGGAAAAACAACATAAAAATTAAGGAAAAACGGGAATTTTTACGCAAAATCGATTTTCCAAAAAATCGAATTTGGTTTTTGGTGTAACTTTAAAACAAATTACCGTAGATACATGAAATTTTCACTGGTTGTTTATATTTGCATTTTCTATACACGATAACATTTTCAAAATATTTTGATTTATTTTGAACTGTTTAGGGACATTTTCATTTTCCATTTTTTTTTAGTTTTTTTTCTAAAAATATCAATAAAATTTTATTTGTTGGTTGCGAAAGCTTGAAAATTTAATAGAAGGCTCCTAATATGTTGTTTCAAAGGCAGATGAAAAATATTAAAGATCCTTAGTCACAATTTTTTTTTATAAGCATTTAAAGTTCAAAAATTGACAAAATATGGAAAAATCACGAAAATTAGCAAATTATTTTGAGTTAAGAATTCGTAAAAATTTTTCTTTTTAAATCTAAGATTTGAAAATGAAACACAAGATTCCTTATAAGATTATCTACCTTTATCAATAAAAAAATCTCTACCGGACAGTCAAATTAAATTTTTATGAGCGTTTGAAATTCAAATTTTTACAACATTGGATTTTCACTCGATTTCTCATGTAGCGATTTCCTTATTTTGTTGTAATTCAAAAACGAATAACTGTAGATACATGAAAATTTCACTGAATATTTATATTAGCATTTCCTATACACCATACAATTTTGAAAATATTTTGACTCTTTTTGAGCTGTTTACGGACATTTTCAGTTTTCAATTTTTTTAGTTTTTTTTTTTATAATTGTCAATAAAATTTTATTTGGTGGGCCAAAAAGTCTGAAAATGTAATACAAGCTTTCTTATATATTGTTACAATATCAGTTGAAAAATTTTAAAAATACATAGGCACGATTTTTTTTTATAAGCATTATAGTTGGAATTTTGATAAAATTTATCAAAATCTCGAAAATTATCAATCGTTGGAATTAAAAAATTATAAAATGTTCAGTTTTTATAACTAAGAGTTGAAAATTTAAAACAAAGATTCTCTTAAATAATTCATACTGTAACCAAAAAATCTAAAAAATATATAAACACACTTATTTTTTACAGACATTTTAATTTCAAATTTAGACAAAATTTCATATTTAAACCAAGAATTACGATTTTAGTTATTTTGTTGTGATTGTATAATATTATTCGTGGGTACTTGAAATTTCTAAAGTAATCTACTATATATATCTATGATAGTATCAGGGTTTGTTGTTGGTGTATAACGCGTTATAAGTACCTAATGGATATTGTGATATGATTAATTTGGAATTCATTATAGGTCAATTTTTTTTAATACCATAGATATGTATATAATATGTCTTATACCTAGAAGGAATACCGTCTCCGCTCAGAATCGTTTTTCTTATACAATGATATTATATCATTGAATTCAAATTTAATACCATTCATTATACAATGACCCACTTGTAACCTACTGTACAGCAGAGCGACACCCACTTGCCCACCTTTTTTTTATTAATATTTATTGATGAAAAATTTTTTTCAAATTTTCCATTTCTACAAATAGTTCAAAAAGAGCTAAATTAAAAATGTTCATATAAAATTATGTGAACATTTAAAGTATGTATTATTCGTTTTTGAGTTACTATAGGGGAGACTGGCTTAATATGACATATTGATGTTTTAATTAGAATTATTGATATATATACGAACCAAATCCGATTTGAATACGTGACATATGACATCCTACATACGATTGTATACAGTGACCACAGGTTTTGACCTAGTTTGAGAATTTGATAACAAAAATGTGATTTGTGTCTTATCAACTTTTTTTTAAATAATTTTTAAAAATTAATTTTAAAATACATAACTTCATGTTCCTTCATTTGTTTTTAATTCAAAGTTGAACATAAAAAGGCAAGCTATACTTACAATTTTTTTTTATAAATAAGCTTATTATAATACTTTTGAAGCAGGTAAAATTGCGTTGTCGTCAAATTATACGTACAGGTAAAATATGTTGCAAATACATTTTTGCAAAGCTCCACTAAAAATTAGATATTAACAGAAATCATAGATTCGTCTTTTGATAATATAGCTGTTATTCTTATGAAATACACAACTTCATTTGCTTTGACTTGGTTGGTTTTCGCTCAGTTTTAATGTATTTTTTTTTTTAAATCTGTCTTAAAATATATGATCAAGAAAATGGCTATCTTGAACATTTAGAAAACTTAAATGCATAGAAAAATTAATTTGAATCTGACGCCATTCAATTAGAATTTCCATACTGTAAATGTACGTTTTTCTCGCAGCGTCAACACGTCACTACTGGTCCAGGCATGGGTAGGTTGGTGTCTGGCGTCACGATACTGTACTGTACCACTGTTTGACACTGCAGGAAAACCGTACCTTGAAAAAACTGCATTTAAATATATTGGTTTGCCATGAAGGTATTAATGGTGATACAGGACTTTTCACAAATACTGTATACTATATAGTGTAAAGAGTAGAAGTAGTAGTAGTAGTAGTAGTAGTAGTGGCTTTTGGCATGAAACAAAGCATAGGCCGTCCCTCCCCGGGTTCGATGATTCAAATAAAAAAAAAAGTAGTAGCTGTACTAGTAGTATCTTGTAGAACACGGATGTTGCTAGATATGGAACAATATGTTTTATGCCTAGCGTCTAGCCATGAAACTCTCGATTGTCAGGGAGCTGACCGATTAAATTGCTGTAGGAGATGTGGCAAACACGGACATTTCATTAAAGATAAACGGATATTAATCTCGCATCATTTAGGAAGACGCTAAGACAAGAGCCGCAGTGGTTATATTCACAATGATTAGCTTCTCCAAGTAAATGTTGGAGTCGGTAAGGCAGCACAGGATGTGGTGGTCCTTACCGCAAGGGAACATAATTAATGGTTTGGTCAGTGAACAGTACCGTAATTTAGGTTAGGATGTAAAATGGTACAGTGAAGCGTCAGGAAGAGCCGTGATATTTGCAGCTAAAGATAAAGCGATAGATGCTATTGGTCCAGCTAATATTGGATTCCGGTGGATTAAAATAAATGGTATACTCGTCTATGGCGTCTATTGTTCACCAAACGTTCCAGTGGATGAATACAATGAGTTTCTAAGTAGATTGGAAGACAGAGTGCGTAGAGCAGATGGACCAGTAATCGTAGCTGGTGACTTTAACGACAAGCTGCCTAAATGGGGATCTCCAATGTCAGATGCAAGAAGGGATGCTTTGTAAGAACTATCATACTCACTAGCCCTACACGTTTGTCACGTCGGTGGTCACCCAACATTTACTAGAGGAGGATCTGAATCCTCCATATACATAACATTTGTATCCCGATCGCTTTGGAGTAAGGCGACGAACTGGAGAGTCCTTGACGAGTAATCAATGAATTTACACTGGTATATTACATTTAACAACTAGCCTACCACTTTTATTCCAGTTCGTCCGACTCCCAAGAGATGGAGCTGGCGGAAACTAGACCGGGGGAGGTTGCTTAGGTTCCTGGAAACGAAAACGGTTACGGAGCTTAGCGATACTGACCAGACTGAAGTGCTGCTAAATGACCTGGATGCATACATTGCGGCTGAGTGTAACTACTCACTATTGGACACCGGAAAATTCTGGATTGTGCAAAAAGTCGTTTGCAGCGAGACGGAAAGTCCAAAAGGTAAGGAAACGGAGAGGGCCTGATGGTGACAAGAGAAACACTTGATGATTTGAGGGTACCATAAGAAAAATCCAAGGAGACCTTATAAGCTGGTAACCAGGAAACTAATCGGTAAGCTACCAATCTCAAGTCTCTCATTACCAGGTCGACTACATGATATCGTTCAAGGTTCCGGAAACGGAGACAATTGAACCAGTCACTACTGGTGAGTTGGTGGACACTTTACCTTCTGAAAAAGCTCCAGGTCCGGATACGTGGTGAAGGCAGAAGTATTGAAAGGCTGATAGAAGTTGAGAGTGTTTTTAACAAATGTATGCAGAATGGGTGCTTCCCACGTGCTTGGAAGGAGGCTCGACTGTGATTGGTTAAGAAACCGGACAAACCTTTGGAACTGCTATCTTCCTACCAGCCCTTAAGCATGGTAAATACAATTAGCAAGATGTTTGAGGGTATTTAACCTTGTGCTAGAGGGGTTCTCACAGACCCAAGTGGAGTGGACAAAGTGACTTATACCTAGAGTTCGTGATTGGGTAAATTGACGACATAGTGTGACAAGCTACCACTTGACACAGCTGTTGACGGGATATGGCTGTTTCCAGGCCTACTTACTTAGGTTTGCCCAAGTATAAAGCTCACAATAATTATCCCGTTGGGGTGCTATTGAAGATGCAGTACACGTTCTTTAGATGCAGTCGGTAGGCAAGGAAGCTGGCAGAGCTGGAAGTCACAGTAGAACAAGACGTTACTCCAGAAACAATAATGCTAATCAGTAAGGGGAACTGGGAAGCTGTAAAACGCTACGTCATACTAATCCTAGAGACTAAAGAGGAAGAATAACGGTTGAGAAGGTAGAACAAGAGGTCTCAAGCGGTGGGTGACGCCGGCCTGAGAAACTGATTGCTAAATATTATGTAAAAAATCGTTCCAGGTGCAATGCACAGACGTGTAATATTGTTAAATTTAAGATCCTGTGATGTTGATACTGATGATTTGCTGTTCATTATTTTATTTTACATACAATATTGAATGTTTAGTATAAGTAAAATGTATAAAGCTTATTTAAATCAATAAAATATGGTGGCTCGGAAAGCAAAACAAAGGCAGTCCTACCCCGAGTCTGGGAATAATAAAAAAAAGTAGTAATAGGCAGAAGTAGTTATAGATAGACAGATAAATAACAATACATATTGTGTTAAATATTATATAAGATAAAGTTTGTGTACAAGTGTTACTGGTTGTCGTAAAAGTTATCATCTGACTGCAGTGTCATCCGAATGGAGTACGTCTTGCGACAGCCGTAGACGATTATTCTTTGTTTTGGTCCATAGTTTGTAGTAGCAGGCTCCTTAAATTGTTTTGAGTTTCAGAGAGAAATATTTGAATTCGGTTTTAATCCTGTTTTGTAGAAGGATTAAAAATGTATCCCCGTATCACTATTGTCAATTAGTTTATTCCAAATAAAAAAATTATTTTATTTTTTATAAATTTCGTAGATAAATCAAAGCACCAAATCGCCCCTTATGTCATTCTCTATTACTATGCTCTCTTCAAAATAAATATACTTTAATTATTCTGAAATAACTACAGTGAGTAGAGGTACCTAAACTATATTTCCATAAAATGAGACACAAATACTTATTAACAATATTTTTAGGAGAAAATAAGCATCGTCCACTCATTTTTTTAAATAAAAATATATGAACGCCTGGAAATAGAATACATACTATTAATTATATAATAGGTACATATTGGAGATGAAATATTTATATAAATGGACATTCGTAAGAACTTAAAAATATGTATCCCGAACAAAAAATGTTTTGAAAATGATGATTATAATAAAGTGTCTAGAGATTGTAAAAAATAAATCACGTTTGTGGAAATAAGTGAATTGCATAAAATAACCACTATTTAATTTTAAAAAAACATTACCAAGATATTATTGACTTGTTCAAAAAACTACTGACTCAGTAAAATGACGAAAAAATCATAAGTTTGTTAATAGGAATACTAGTTAGTAGGTATAGATTTTTTCATTTTGTGAAGTATTTACGGTAACCTATTGGATTATTTAAGCTGTTTTTCCGAGTTCCGACGAAGGGGATACGATTAAATATTCATTAGCTAATATAAGTTAATTATACATTTTCTGGTGGACGAGAATAAAAAATATATGCATAACTACCACTTTTACTGATAATTTTCTACCACTAGGCCAATGCTGGTTGGCTATAGGTATCATATTATTAAAATAAGTCATTAAATTGCATTGTAATATAATATAATATTGAATGCGTTGGCGTTGTCGTCCAATTTTCACACACTATCGATTTATCGAAAACCGGACAATTTCAACACGTTTCATCAAAGTCGTTCGATTTTCGGAACATTAAATAATGAATGCCGGAACATTGTTGTGTGTATTCTCCGGCGGCAGACGGATATTAAATTATTTATTTACACAGGTACATATTGTTATTGTTATACAGTTGCGAGACACGTCATAAATTATTTTACATAATTTATTTTAAAAACACCGACTCTATACGGGTACCTATATTACTTACGCAGTATTCTAAAACAAATGTTACACAATCTGAGTGGAAGTAAGAAGTGTATTATTGTCATATTTAAAAGTAAACAATGTACCTACTATTTAATACGAAGAATGTGCAGTCCACGATTACTGAAAACAATCGATATGTCAGCTCAGTGGCTCCGATCACCTAATTTATCTATGACCAGTGGCTCAACCAGGGGGGGAGTTAGGGGTTGTAACCCCCCCCTCGACATTTTTGCCAAACGTGTAAAGATATTTTTGTTAATCTTGCATTTTGGAGCTAATGTGAAATAGGTATCCTGCTAATATATTTTCTTTTTAGAATACGTACCATAAATGTATATATAATTTCGGAAGTTTCAAACTTTTATTTAATAATTTCAGAACTACATTTTAAACTAATTTTTAGTATAACCCAACTTTTTTATCTTGGATTTTTATGCTCATAATTAATTTTCTCTTTATTAAATAAAAACTTTTGAAAAATCATAATATTAGATACATTTCATATTTCTATACATAATATAATTATTATATTCTATATTATTATCATAGCGATTACATAATCGAAACAAAACCTGTCAATTATACTTATTGTACGTCAAACTTTAAATAGGTACCTAGATAAATAAACTAAAATAGTTAAGCATTACTGAACTCAAAAATTATTGAATAATATAAAACATGGTACATGTTATGTATTGTTAAAGATCATTGATTGTTGTAATCAAAAAAACATTGGGGGTAAAAAAAATAGTGTAAAGTAATATAAATTATAATATAACATATTCTTATGAAGTTATGAATAATGACCGATAAAATATTCTTATAAGAATAAGGTACCTATGCTAATAATATATGTACTTAAAACTAATACCTTTTTTTATTTAATTAATCGTGTCAACATACTTACTAAATGTTTCTACAATATATTAATACATATAGAGGCTTATCTTTAAAATAGTTTAAAGGGAAATAAAGCCGTATCGTGACACATAATATTCCATCTAATTTTACCAACAACTATAACTAAAAATATATTCCCTAACTGATTTTTACATTTACCTAACTAATGCACATGCGAAAGTAGTTTCTCGGTTATGTGCAATAAAATACAATGTATTATGACTTACACCCATGTAAGTACCTATCTATGTAATGACTTGTATCTACGTACAACACTTATGTTACAAAACAAGTTTAAAAATTCTTCTATAATTTATACAAAATACATTTCCATATTTACGTCAAAATAATTATAGATGTATTTCCATCTGAAAATAAATATATTATATTAATATATCCAATAAATTATATGAAAATCATTAAATCTATCATTTACATTTAATTTTTTTAATGCCTAGTATGAATAAATTGTTATATATTATTTGAAAGTGTGAACGAAGTCCCTAAATTAATTCCCATAATTTGTCCAGTAAAATAATAACCTTGCCACCACAAAAAAATCATCAAATCCCTACCTTAAGAAAACACCATAAAAATCGATTTGTTAGCTTTTGAGTTAATCGAGGACAAATATAACAATATAAGCTCTGTCTCTTTATACTTATAGTATCAAAGTATATATGATGTAAATCTTAAATGGTACCTAATATAATAATATATCTGTGCTGTATTTAGGATTTTGTCTAGATGGTGGAGGGGAAATATGTATTTACAATATTACATTAATAGTTAATACCTAACAACAGTGCATGTTTAAAATAATTTAAAAGTAGGTAAATAAAATGGTTTCATAACACATAATACTATAGTAATAATATGTAATCTGTCTGAATATCTAATACAGTTTATCTTGAAATTAAAATATTTAACAGTACCACTTTGTATAACTAAATTACAATAACAATATATACCGTATTTACCTATACATAAGTGGTAATGTAATATTTTGTACATAAGTATTGCGTATCATCGTTGTCGGTACCGACAAACCTTTTTTTTTTTTTTTTTTTTTTTTTTTTTTTTTTTTTTAATTTATAAACAGGAACGGGTGGGAACTGTTTAGCACAATACTGCCACCCGAGCCCGTATCGTTTATTTACCGTCACTACAAAATACAACTATAATATAAACTATAAAGTACATACGTGGGGGCCTCTAACCACCCTAGGTATTTGGCCTTCGGCCCACAAACTCAGTCACCATTAAAATAATCGCGCCTGCCTAACCCGCTCTGCATCCTCCTTCCGCCCGAGAATCGCCTCCACCATTCTGCCAAACGCCAACCTCAGTCCCTCCGCCATCGCCTCAATACGCCGCCTCCTGGATGCAGCATCTGGGAGGAGCTCCTGTTCCGGTCCCAGGATGATATCCGGCACATCATTGGGTTGTAGTGGCCGGCCGACGCATTGCTCCATCTCCCGTCTGTCTTCTGCCCAGAACGGACAGTTAAACAATGTGTGCTCCACAGTGTCGTCCGGCTCATCACAGTGCATGCAGTGGGGGTCATCTGCTCTCCTCCTCTTCCACAGGTAGTGCTGGAAGCATCCATGACCCGTCAAAGCCTGAGCCATGTGGAAAGTCATGGCTTCGTGATTTGACTGATGCACCCACC